GCGCTCATAATTTCTTCCCAGAGTAGTTTAACCCTTCTTCATCCTAGATACTTCCTTTCCTTCTTTCGTCGCAACGGACGGACTTTGTTTCCCATCAGAATTTTGCCATTTAGACTTGAGTGCCAGAGCTGTCGAGCGAACTCCTTCACCAGAACCACAGCCTTCATCTCTGGAATCAACAGTGAAGGACTCTCAAGAGGATGTTTTTCCTGAAGCGGGGTGAGTTCTTCTTGGACACTGACAAGCATGATCCATAATAGGAGAAACGGTCAAGACAATCGTAATTTGCCGCTCCGTCGCACGCGGCGGTGGGAGCGGCATGCCCTTAGTTTGCGTTGGCCTCGAGTGGAAAAAGTGGATTTTGTGTAAGCTGTAATATCGTGAGGACTTATGGAAATTCCTGGTTATATATTAGTTACTGTCATCACCGGCGGCGTAAGCATATTCACTTGCATGGGGCTAATGCCGTTTGGACTCCAGCAATTTCGGCACCGAGCTCATTAAATTGCCTAAGTCACCAAATCCGCTAAAAACTTGTATATAGGGGTAGTTTAACATCCTGATTACGAATATGACATTCACTCTTGCCGCTGGCGCTAATGGATGACACTACGATTATCTGCGCTCTGCTAAGGCTGAGCCCAGGAGGTAATCGTAGTGTCATCTCTTGGCGCCAGCGCCAAGAATGAGTGTCATAATTGTAATCACGATGGTAAATAACCCTTGTGTACATGTTTTCAGCGGGTTTGGTGACTTAGGCAATTTAAAAATGAGCTCGGTGCCGAAATTGCTGGAGTCCAAACGGCATTAGCCCCTGCGTGGGCGACGTCGCACGCGACGCTCTTGATCGCAACGACTCACGATTGTCTTGCCTCATGCCCTGCGCGATAGGGAGCTTAGGTAGAGGTGTAGAAGTATGGAAGGGAAGTAGTCAGTTGACTTGTATGTGAGGTGAAACTTCAAAAGAGAAGGTCGGAAATACCTCTAATAGGACCTCTCTAGTCTCAAGCAACTGTACGAGTGCAAGGCGAAAAGGCCGCGTATCGGGACGAATCCAGTCAGCTGATTCCCTTTAATGAACCCTGTGACCCAGAAAAAACACATTTTATGTTACTTGCCCAGCAGCATTGTTTTTCGCTAGAAAGTGTACTTCGGAAACAGAGTTTGGGGCGGAGTCCCTGGAGAAGAGGATGTGTCCCTGAAGCAACTTAACGCCTTAGCGCCCTTTCGTAGTTTTTCACTTTTCGCCGAGAAAGTGATTCAGTTTATTCATTATAAACCTCACTTCCCTTCCCATAGAATCTTTTACATTTTCAAAGGTGATCGTAGACCGTTTCTTCAAGGAGATCTGTTTTTATCGTGTTGATGTGACTCGTGCTGGCTGATAAGATGCTTTTTGGACTGAATTTGATTGACATTAGGCTTTCCTTATCAGCGTACGCTTCTTGTTGTTATTTTCTTTCTTGAAGTACGGAACGTACACAACAAGTGGTTTTTGCAGGAGTTCTGCTGATGTTCGATGCGTCAATGTACAGGAAATAGAAATGGCAAAAACTGGTACGGTTTACGATGTAAAAGAATTTTCGGGAACTGTTAGGCTTGGTGAGGGGGCTTAAGCAGTACTTAGCGAAGCTAGTTCAGACCATCTTGTGAAGACCTGTAATTATTACGAATGTGGGCATTTCCTAGCTTCGCAGTAGTTCACAGGTCTCATCAAAGTGTTAGCTGTTTAACGTGATCTAGGGCAAGAAACTAGCGAAAGTGCAAATGGCCCCTTCCAAGCCGAAAAGCGCCAGTGTTTGTGTTCCTTATTTGTTTTGGTTTCTTATGACGTAGCATGCAAGCGGAAAACAAGAGTCGTCATCATTGATCAGTCATTTTGGGTACGCCACGTCCGTGACTTTCACATGGGATGCTACCCCTGTTGAAAGTTCGGTTGGTTCCTATGGGAGGGGCACTCTGAGATGCCTAGAGTTCGATTGTCCGACACCATGTACCTACTCGAGAATCAGACCAGATTTTTAGCGAAATTTCCCTTTGGAAGTGGATTTCGCTGAAAATTTGCTCTCGGAGGTAGTACAACCTCCTGAACACGAGTATTACACCCGCTTGGCAAACAAAACTGTTTGGCACTCGTGCTATAAGCGTCGGCGCCAAAATACTTTCCCTCAGAACTTTGTGAAATTTTTCCCTATGGGTAACCTACCTCCCTGAACGGCGAACATCACACCCACCTGCCTGGCGCCCGTGCCATAGACCCTGGCATGAAAATACCCTAACTTAAGAATATCGCTGCAAACGTGTCTCCAAGGTTGACTCTTTGAGAAAGAGTGCTTCGTCTGCATGAGGTGTCAAGGGAAAGGGAGGGAGGTCTATTCCTGTCGTCTGGCATACCTTCTCTGCGAAAAAACGTAGTGGAGTCTGCTTCTGAAGGCTAGACTGAGCTTTTAGACATGTGGCAAAGGGCACCATCGGCAGGCAACCAGGGCGGGCCCTGCTGCTTGCTGCAGTCCGTCTGCCCTAACTGCCCTAAACTCCGCTAACCATGGAAACAGCATATCCGTCGCACACTAAAGAGGACAAAGGCGCTCCGTCGGCCTTTCGGTGAGTTAAGGGGTGTTCGTTGTTAAGAGTATGTGACATCCGTGACAGGTGGTTCTCAGTCTATCACACATACGTGACAAAGTTTTTCATCTTTGCGACGTGAGAGGGCCCGAACTACCTCCGCGGGGCAAGTTGATTAAATATCTAGCGGAATTTTAAGACTGGTGTTAACAAGGAATACAGTCTTATAGTTCGCTGGCGCATATTCTGGCAGCGACTCAAATCGGAGGGGGGGGGAGGTGGGAGACGGGCAAGAGAACCTTAGTTTGCCGCCCTGCCGCGATCTACGACCTATAACGATCGTCATTCGCGGGCGCGATGTCGCACGTTCATCGCCACCGATTTACCCTTGAAGAGACAGTGTTAAAGCGGCACAAACATGCTAGGGGGACCGCACCAACCTCTAGCCCGTCCGCGCGGCCCATACAACCTCAATTTTCCTTTGGGTACGTTGGTAACAGGTTTGTCTGGGAGGATAAAAGCACTGAAGTGTAACGTCTCGGGTTGTTTCCTGACAACTAATTGTATAGATTTACTCGACTTTTCGATCAGGCTATGACAGTGGGTAGTAAAGGAGAGAGAATGCATCCTAAGAAGGGACTGACCAACGACGAACAGGGCATGTCGTACGTTGGAGGTTTCCCAGCGGGATAGGATTTAGTCAGTGTGACGAGGGGGAGGGGTAGTGATCGCACGGATTTTTTTGATGTTATGTTTTCTGTTTCGCGATGAGCGCCTATGTACGTGTCGTTGAAAGTACAGTGATAGGTAGTAATGTGGGATTTGGGAGGGGGGGGGAGAGAATTAAACACACATGCAGGAAGTGAGGATGGTGGAGGTTGCGTAGTTTTTCCCAAAATGTGATTTGAATGTTTATAATTATAATAATTACTCTACTTTTTATAATTAATTAAGACATCGATGTCTAAAACTATGATATGATTTTACATATATTGAAATTTTAGAATTGAACTTTGTTTTCACTTTTATTTTTATTGATTCCAAGGAAGTGGTCTAGTTTCCGTTTCGCACGTGCCATAAACCTTCCCCAACGGAAGAAAGTGCCTTGATGACAAAATCTCTATCTTTCATTTTTACTACTCTGATTACTTACTGCTACTACTACTTGACGTGATTCTTTTTGTCTTTCTGTTATCAGTACTGGAATTGCTATGGCAGATTTGCGCATCGCATTACACAATCATTTTGCCAACTAGCAGATAAGAAGTGGGAAAAACGAGCGGCGCTACATTTTGTTTTTAAAAACGCTGGAACAGATCATGTTTTGTGTTTTCAGTGTATCAGAAAAATAATTCAGGTCTTGCGACCTCCTGAATCGAGAAAATTGACGCAGTCAGACTTGACCAGTGACAAGCAAATTGCCATGAAATCAAGCGTTTTCAACAAGTTCCTCACTCCAGTGGTACTGGAATCATCCCCTAGCGTGGCGTCATTATCTGGAACTCCATTGAAGAGCATTCTGTCGACGCCAGCCAAGTCTGAGTCCGGTGTGTCGAGTGAAGTGCCTGCAACTCAGGTGGGATGCATTTATCATATACTACCATTTTATTCGTTGCGGATCTCAGAGCATTCTAGAGGGGCTGGATTTGCGCAGCGCCGATCCTTCTCCACCTGCTCTGTAAGCTGGCAGGCGGCACAGTTGGTGGAGAAGAGGTTAGTGCCACGCCGAAACTAGCCTTTCTGAAGCGCCTCAGCGCCCGCTTCATTCAGTACTTCTCCAAACGAGAAGGCGTGTGAGAGAGCGTGGTTGAAGCGCTGCCGAAGCGATCCTTCCCACCAGTGATGCCATCAAGAGCTCACAGAATTTTTTAAAAGAGAATGCCCTGGTTGCACTCCAGTTCACGCCCCTTCGCAACGCCCTCTCGTTTGCAAAGATAATAACCGTCTGTAAGCACTCTAAGCTAAGTAGGCAAGTAAATAAACAGAGTTATAAAATATTTGTTTAAACACGGCGCATCACTGTATTATTCGTTATTATTTGGAAAACGTTCCTTCTGATTAGTGGTCAGCACGGGGATTGTGGGGTGGGGAGGTTAAAGAATTTTGATATGAGCATAGGTGCGCTAGACGTCTTCTGGGTCAGTCGTGGAGCTAACGGTTACATGAGAGAGCGCGGGCGGTAGAAGAGGAATGAACAGCTTTCCATTCTCTCAGAAATGCGTAGCTGCTGCCGCGCTTACAACGAAGACTAATGCACGCCCTTTCCATCTTTGGGACACGGAGCGTTTGCTCCATCGTCGTCCATTGTTCTGCGACAGCGTTCGAGCAGTTTGAAAATTCTTTCCTCCCAGGAGGAACTGGATTGAGACTCATCGTATCGTCGACTGCCTCCCTGATCTCATATTGAACCTTTTCCCCACCCAGGGAATGCTGGAAGTCGGTGATTAGCTATCAGTCAGAAGCACCAATCTCACTGCAGAAAGCTGCGGTATGGCGAGTCGGTCGTACTTTTTTTTACTCGACCCCTCTGCAGCGTGAGATTGAAAAAGTCGATCTGCGTACACGAGTCCGATCGACAAAGTCCTTGAGCTCCTTTACCCGGGCAACAAATGTAGGCTTTTTATTTATGTGCCCCTTTTCAACCAGATCACCGTGTCCCATGCCGTATCGGGACCTCCAACACGACAGGAAGATCTTCTTGGGGTAGCGGTCAGGCTTTTGGAAGGAAGTAGGCTCTTACAAGTGACTCATCTTCATTTAAAAGCATTGGCTTGCGCGATTAGCGGGGTGATGTGGAAGCATAAGGTCATTGTAAGTCCGCAAAGTTGTGCTTTGTGGGCTAAATGATGTAGGTCCGCCACTAGAACACTAGAGCCTCTACTAGATATAGCGAGCAGTATCTCCGGAGTTGACTGTAATTTAAGCTCCAGTGTTAGTACTACTTAGCTCCAAGATGTGTTTTTCAACCTGTCATTTACTTTTAAGGAAGTCGTGACTGAGTCGGATGATGAAGAGCTCATTAGATCGGAAGGATTTTGTGTAGACGAGTGCAGCCGATTGTCTCCTAATCGCCCTTCGGAGGAGAAACATGAACCCAGAACGGAGACAGAAGAGGATTCAGATTCTTCGGATGACGACGATGAGCTGAGCTATAAAACTGTGATGAAGATGAATTTGACCGGAGTTGCGCGTGAGTTGTGATTTTCCGATCTAGATATCACATAAAACATTCTCATGGCACATTTAGCCGTTGGTAAACAAAAAAATATTCAAAAAAAGAAAGCCCAGGTGTGTGAAGAAGGCTGGCCGCCGCGGGCCTAATGGGCATAAGTGATAAGCCTGCAGCTCGCTCGCTGCTCATTTCCGAGCCGCGTAAAGGGCGCTTCCGTGTGTGTACGGACTCGGGTTACTTGTTTACGAACGGAATTAGACTCTCTCTGTGGTCAAGGCTCATCCTGTAGCGGGGGAGGGGGGAATTTTGCGAGATACACCCTTCCCCTCCAGTGGGAATCTCCCAAAGATCTGGATAGTAGATCTTTAGGGCCAAATACAACCCCTCTCCTGCAGCGACCACCAAATACGACCCCCGCTGGAGATTTACAAGCATGCGGCAAGATCTGTGGGAAAACTCTTCTAGAGAAGCTCGAGGGAATCATCCTTAGCTAAGACTCGGACCTTCAAGAGCAAGTCGACTGTGCACCGCAGGTTATGGCCTTCTGATTCAGAGCAGGCGTTGATATGTCCAGGGGCAGAGCGGGCGAATATCAGGCGATCATTTCAAACGTTTTTGCTATCACTGCCATGTTGCCCATAGACAGACCCAATGCCTTTCTTAATAATTCGCCCGAAGAAGAAGAAATTGGTCCGCTGTCTCCGCCTATACAGTCAACGCAGAATGTGTCTGTGCCAGACATTTGCCTGTTTCTCTCGACCAAGCATCGTTCTTGAGATTTCAGGTGAATTCGCGGAATATCTGCTCATGCGACAATCGGAACGCGCCATAGCTAGGAGGGATCCTAGTCGGAGCACAGTTACCTATGAAGTGTGGAGACGTACAGGTCAGTGAAACTTATCTTTTCATACTACAGATCAGTGAGACTTATCTTTTCGTATCCACCACAACCTTGATGACGTTCTTGATGACGTCAGAGTGGGAAATACCCCACAAATATTCCCCGTGATGCCTTGCAAAGTGTGGTCCCTCAGTGGCACTCGTGATTTACTAAGAAAGGGTCCTGTACTTTTCTCGAGACAGCTATCTAACGATTTTTGCGCTGTTTGTGATCCTCACAATCCAGAAATTTCCGAAAAGGAACTCATTTTGATCTGGGAAAATGTTTTTTTATTGAGAAAAACGAGAAATTGCAGTGAAGATCATCTGAATGACTCGAAGACAGTCCAAACTGGTGGGCGGGGATTGGCCTACTATCAAGCGCTCCTCATTGGTGGGCCTCCAGACATTAAGGTCCGATAAACAAGGGCGCGCCAACGAGGAAGGCACATTGGTGAGCCTTACCCCGCCCATACCACTAGGACTGTGCCTTCGAGAGAGCGGCTGTGAAGGCTTCGTTCTTCACATTGCAAGCGAAAAAAACGAAGTTCGGCAGAAGTGCTGGCTGAGGCACTTGATCGGCGTTCTGAAGCCCTTGGTTCTTCGTGGTGTCTTGAAAGGAAATGAAAGGAAGGCTTATGAAGGAGGATAAAAAGACTGCCTCCGACCCTGGCTCGTACCAGAAGACAACCGGAGAAGACAACTAAAGGAAGACCCCTCGTTCAACCATTTCATAGCATTTTCCTTGTCCAAGTAAGGTGGCCGCAGTGCCCTAGTCACCACTGTGGAGCCGCGGAAATGGGACAGTCCTTTTGATTATGCACCACACTATGGGCAAGGAAGCAATTTTACGAATTGGTTGAACGCGGGGTCAGTCTTCAATGTCAATGGAGGCTGAATGCGTGACGTATCAGATCGATCAGATCAATTTTGGCATGAGGATCTGTTCAGATGGGCTGAAGGCTGAAATCCATTTGAAGCACGGAATCCACGCAAATCCCCCAACCTGAGCCTACTGGCCGGCTTCACAACGGGGATCCGCTTTCAATCACCTCGATAGATCCTCGAATAGGAGGACTAATTGCAGCTGTTCAGAGTGAGTGGGAAGTCCCTCCCCCAAACAACCGAGGCATAGCTACAGATGCTTTTACCAGCCCTAAGTGCCTCTAGGAAGGGCCGGCACACGAGCCTGA